ACCGGCTCGCCTGGTGCGTCCCAGCCTGGGTTTCACTGAACGATCATTCACCGGAAAAACGACCGAGCTTTATGGAAAAAGCTAATAATCATGCATGCTGAGGTCCATGAGGCCCCTTGATGCAACACATCCATCCTAGCCGATGCCGTTTCGCCCTACATACGGGAGAACGCCAAAACACAGTCAGTATGAGTCCAAGTGTTAAACTAGAGCGCAGGAACCACTCCTACTGTCAGCAACCTGCAAGTTTGCAAAATGCATGATTCCCGAGCTGGTGACTTTCCCGCCAAAACTTTCGCGTGATTGCACGCTGAGCCCAAACGTGTATGAGGGGTGGTACCGCTGTTCTGGGGTGGCACTTGGCGGAGGAAACCGCTGGCAAAATTTTGGCGCCGGAGCTTGTTTAGTTGCCGAGTTGAAATACCGGGAAAGACACACACACACACACGCCGGGGCCGTCACAATATGCGTTTCTGCATTTGGATATATGTAAAAACACACAAAAATGTAAAATGTTTCATTGTAGGACAATATTGGGTTCGACCTCACACGACTAGTACTCAACACGGATATTGAATTGTTTGAAAAAAGGTATTCGACTGCAGAACCGCTGTATGAATACCAGTTGACTGGGCACAGAAATGCACAGTCCACGGAAATCAGAACTGTTGCGACTGTTCATGACGTTTGTGTTCGAAAAGGTTTCGTTTTTACAGAATAAACTGAGACGTACCATGCATATGCAGAAACTACTGTTGCACGTTTCCTTTTGCACATTCTGCCTCTGAACGAGAGGAAGAAGTACACTGTATCCCAGCGCATGAAGGAAACGGAATTTCCCTCGATCCCGACAAATGTCTTTGGCAGTATCATCGGTTTATCCTTGCCAGTCTTTGAAATTTGTTTATTCCTCTCAGTGGGCTAATCCTAATTTTATGGCTAGTGATTCATCTTTACAGCGCATCTTCGAAAAAGATTTGGACTGTTAGGCGACATACAAGTTCCGTTAACAGCGGATCAAAAAATATTCGATGAATCATTGGTGAACTTGGCGTTTGAGTATGCATGGCAGTTTTGGTAAGTTGGAATCTGAAGAGTATGTCGAATGATCTGGTCCTTACGCAAAATAATTTTTCATAGTTTTAGAGGGATTACCTTACAGAAAAGTTCTATTTTTTATGAAGTATTTTTCAGTGTCTCGCTTTGGAAGAAACAGGGATTGCCGAAAACGAATTGGACCATATGGAAAGCAACTGAAACTGCGAGTCATTCAAAAGAATGTATCTGGTTTGCAATCAGCATACAAATTACCACAACGGCACCCTGACTGCCGGAATTACCTCAGTTGCAGTGTTCTCTTATTCGCAAGGCTCATGCACTCAGTAACAAACGACATTTCGTTGGATGTATATTTGATAGCTGCTAGAAAACTGTGTATTCTAGCGAGTTATACACATTTGACTTCATGATACTTCAATGGGAGAGTTATTGCTTTCCGATCTTCGAGAAGCAGTTAGATTGATTTGTTTAGCTAAATGATGGAAAACTGGGAGAAGTAGTGGAGAAGTAATTCTGAATTAGTATTGCTAATCCAGGATTACTCCTCTTCCCCCGTTTCGAGGCCACAAATGGCAGCAGCAGCAAAAAGTGCGTTTTTGTTGAAAAAATGATAGTGATTTGTTTTTCCTTTTTCTGAAATGATTTATTTGATCGTGATTTTTAAATCACATAAACCATTCTACATTTTGCCATATTATGCACAATATAGAAACAGCGACGATAGGAGCGGTGGAGCGAGGGGGGAGGAGAAAGCTAGGGATGCACAGAGCGTAAGAATACAGCTGGGGGAAGGGTATACAGCGGAGGGCGAATACAGCCGGGGGGAGTGGGTGAGGATGGGTGCAGGCGATGCGGCGGCGCAGAGCTGGGTCCAGCGTGAGTTGAAAGGCGCAGCAGAAGCGCTATAGTGTGGCGCGGTGAAGCGACCTATACGAGGAGCGAGCCATATAGCGGACCTCTCTGGAATGCGTGCGTACGGCGTTCTACAACGTCCAAGTTAGGG